AGTCTCTGATGGTATGGGGTGTATTAACCAGCCTCTCTGATGGTATGGATGTGTATTAGTTAGTCTCTGATGGTATGGGGTGTATTAACCAGCCTCTCTGATGGTATGGATGTGTATTAGTTAGTCTCTGATGGTATGGGGTGTATTAACCAGCCTCTCTGATGGTATGGGGGTGTATTAACCAGCCTCTCTGATGGTATGGGGGTGTATTAGTGCCCATGGCATGGGTAACTGTCACATCTGTAAAGGCACCATTAATGCTGGTTTTGCAGCAGCATACGCTTCAATCTAAGCCACGTCTTTTTCAGGGACGTCCAGCTGATTTCAGCAAGACAATGAAGACACAGTCTGCACGTGTTGCAACAGCGTGGCTTCAGAGTTAGAGTGTGCAGGTACTAGACTGGCCTGCCAGCAGTCCAGACCCGTCTCTCAATGAAAATGTGTGGAGCTTTATGAAGAGACCCCGAACTGTTGAGCAGCTGAAGTTGTTCATCAAGTAAGAATGAAAAAAAAATCATCTACAGAGCTTCAACAATTAGTGTCCCCAGTTCACAAACACTGAGTGTTGATAAAGGGATCAGAGTGTGTTCCAACTGTAGGGGGATCACACTTCTGAGCCTCCCTGGTAAGGTCTATTCAGGGGTCCTGGAGAGGAGGGTCCGTCGGATAGTCGAATCTCGGATTCAGGAAGAGCAGTGTGGTTTTGGTCCTGGTCGTGGAAAACTGGACCAGCTCTACACCCTCAGCAGGGTCCTGGAGGGTGCATGGGAGTTGGCCCAACCAGTCTACATGTGTTTTGTGGACTTGGAGAAGGCCTTCAACCATGTCCCTTGGGGACTTCTGTGGGGGGTACTCTGCGAGTATGGGGTACCAGGCCCTTTGAAACAAGGTATTAGGTCCCTGTACGACTGATGTCAGAATTTGGTCCACATTGTTGGTAGTAAGTTGGTGAGAGTTGGACTCCACCAAGGTTGCCCTTTGTCACCGTTTCTGTTCATAACTTTTACGGACAGAATTTCTAGGAGCAGCCAAGGTGTTGAGGGGATCCTTTTTGGTGACCTTAGGATCACTTCTCTGCTTTTTGAGGATGATGTGGTCCTATTGGCTTCATCAGATCCTGATCTCCAGCTCTCACTGGAGCAGTTCACAACTGAGTGTGAAGTAGCCGGGATGAGGATCAGTGCTGAGATATGGTCTTGAGCTGGAAAAGGGCAGGGTGCCTCCTCTGGATTGGGGAAGAGGTTCTGCCCCAAGTAGAGGAGTTTAAGTATCTCAGAGCCTTGTTCACAAATGAGGGAAGAATGGAGTGGTAGATTTATAGGTGGATTGGTGCTGTGTCTGCAGTGATGTGGGTGTTGTACCGATCTGCCATGCTGAAGCGATTTACCGGTCGATCTACATTCCTACCCTCATCTATGTTCACGAGCTTTGGGTAGTGACCRAAAGAACRAGATYRCRGATACAAGYAGCTGAAATGAGTTTCCTCCGCAGGGTGTCTGGGCTCTCCCTTAGAGATAGGCTGAGAAGCTCAGTCATCCAGGAGGGACTCAGAGTAGAGCCGCTGCTCCTCCACGTCCAGAGGACCCAGTTGAGGTGGTTCATCTGGTTAGGATGCCTCCTGGACTCCTCCCTGGTGAGGTGTTCTGGACACGTCCCACTGGGAGGAGACCCAGAGGAAGATCCAGGACACACTGGAGGGACTATGTTTCTCAGCTGGCCTGGGAACACCTTGGAGTTCCCCCAGAGGAGCTGGTCCAAGTGGCTGGAGAGAGGGAAGTCTGGATCTCCCTGCTTCTGCCCCCCACGACCTGATAAGTGGAAGAAAACTGATGGACAGACGGAAGATCCAAATGTTATGAACAATACCAGGACCATGGTAGATTGGTAACTCATAGGCCAGTGGTTCCAAATGTGGAGTTGTGAACTTTTGGAAAAGTAATAAATATATGCTAATTAAAAATAACATCTTTAGTCAACAAATGTTTTCTGTTTGCTGTAAAGTGTCATTATTCCAAAAAAGAGAGAAAATATCTGCCCAAGAAAAAATGGTTTGATCAGAATTGAGTCCAGAAATTAAGAAACATGTCAAACATCCAAAGGGGAAGGTGGAAACAAACTGTCTCTCAACAGAGTCCAATCAGAAAGGGATCACACTGCACAAACAAGCCTGTTTTCTTGTACCTCACAAAGGCAGCTGAAAGAAACTTCACAGCAGACATCGGGAGACTGCTGATGGCTGAAACCACTGCTCCCTGTTGTCCATCAGGATTCCAATAGACATGTTTTAAAACCTGTTTTGTAACCATTCAGATTATTTTTATACTGTAGCTGAGCTACTGGACAACTGTGTGAGCAGCCTGCATGCTGTATCACAGACTGGCCTCCTTGCTGCGAGAGTAAAGCTGACATCTACTGAACTGAAGAAATCTCCGTATTTTTCTAACATGGAACAACAAATGGGATGGAGGCTCTATAGAAATCAGTCATCCTTCCATTCATGTTCTATACTTGCTTTTCTTTTCTGGGTTAGTGAGGAACTTGTGCCAACCTGGTGTCTCTAGTCCATCACAAGAACACACAGAGATGAATGAGACAAAAGCTGATACTTTCACTCACTCTTACGGACAATTTAGAGTTACCATTATACTCAACATGCATGTTTTAGTCTGTGGGAGGAAACTGGACTTACCCAAAGAAAACCCACAAGGACAACGTGTAAACACCACCCAGAAAATAGTACTAAAATTATGTCAGTGAAAGTAATGAGATTAGATCTAAAATCAGTCCCAAATGGAAAAACAACAAAATTTTTCTGTACATTTCATCAGAAATAAATCTATTATATCTGACAGGAGGATTAAAGGGTTTTATCTAGACATAAAAATAATCTATCTGAAAAATAAGATAAAAATTTGTCAATAAATTGTTAGATTTCTATTGACAGGTACATTATTTTGCTGATTTCTTTTGTAAAAAAAAATCTGGATTTTTCTGAATAACTCTAAATATTTCCTCAGCAGCTATTTGTGTGTTTGACTGTTCTGATTTTAGATATTTGTTTTTCTTTTTGTTTAATCTGATTATCTCAGATAATGTTTGACCTTTCACCCTCTTCAAATAAGTAATTTTCCTGTTTTACTGCAAAACCAGTAAACATCCAAACAACCATATTTCACCAAACGTTTAAGCTCATCACTGATCTGTTTGTTCTGAGCTGTTTCTGTTTGTGCCTCAGAGAACTGCCTGGATGTCCACGTGCGCACCCATCCAGAGCGGGTGGCCCTGATCTGGGAGAGGGATGAACCTGGCTCTGAGGTGAAGGTCTCCTACAGGTACAAAGATCAGATCTGAACAACCAGTCACTTTAAAATGATCTGCTTTATTTTTATGTTACAGCTTCATAAAAAACAATTGGTTTAAACATTTATCTGTTAACAGGAACTAAAAATCTAATAAATATGGACAGTATATCTATCTGTTTATATCATTGTCTGTATTATTTGGTATAGATCAGTATTCTTTCATGATTGGAAGGATTTTGTAAGGACTGTGTTTACTTTACCCACCTGTGTTCTCTGTGTTTGGTTCTGTTTCTCTGGTTCTGCTCTTGCCCCGCCCACTTCTACCTGATCCTTGTCATCCCTTCACAGGAGTTAGTTATTCTGGATCATTTAATTGTCTTTATCTTCCCCATAGGTTGGTTTGTTGTTTGGATCTGCATTGTACATCTAATGTGTCATTTTTGACTCTGTCCTTCTGTTAATCTCCACAATTTCTGTTTTTTGTTTTGCTGCCACGTCGGCGTCTTTAAATTAAATACGTTTTCCTGTTAAAGATTCAACGTAAGGTTGTTCCTGTCTGCATTTTGAGATTTGAACTATGTCAAACCAGTTTATGACAGATTTATTTACATACAAATATAAAATACTACAAAACATTCATCAGTACTTGTTTATCCAGGTATCAGAGGGCTGTGAAAATGGCAAAATCTGCTTTTATGTCTATGATTAATCTAAATAGTCACAAACCTCATGTTCTTTTTAATATTTTTAACTCTGTTATTAATCCTTGTATCAGTGTTTCCATGGAAGCTTCTTTTAAACTTTGTGATGAGTTCTTGAAATTCTTTGTTGGGAAGATTTCTGATTTAAAGACTTTTTATTCTCAGCCTGTCTTAAATCTGCCAGATCCTCCAAAGTTTTCTGCTGTTTTTCAGCTTTTTGAGCCTGTGACTTTATCTGCTCTTCAAGAAATAGTTTCAAACTTACGACCCTCTAATTCCCCTCATGATGTCCATCCGCCCTCCTTGTATTTTAAAAGAAACTCTTCGTATCACTGGGCCTTTTATTTTACATTGTGTGAACTCGTCTTTGTTATCTGGCTGTGTTCGAGCAGCTTTTAAACATGCTGTACTGCAGCCAATTATCAAAAAGAAAAACCTGGACCCCAATGTTCTAACTATAGGCCAATATCTAAATTACCTTTCATGTTTAAGATTTTAGAAAGGTCTGTTTTTACTCGACTTCAGTCCTTTTTAGATTCTCATGGTGTTTGTGAAGAGTTTCAGTCTGGTTTTAAATCTCGTCATAGTGCTGAGACAGCACTTTTAAGGGTTTTTAACGCTCTTCTTTTAACTGTTGATTCAGGTAGCCCTGTTGTTTTAGTTCTTTTAAATTTAACTGCTGCCTTTGATACAGTTGATCACAGCATCCTTTTATCCAGACTTGAACATGTTGTTGGTCTTCAAGGCTCAGTTTTCACATGGTTCAGGTCATATTTGGCAGACAGGTCTTTTTCCGTTTCTATGGGGTAATACTCTTCTTCATCTGCTCCTATTTGCTGTGGTGTACCTCAAGGTTCTATTTTAGGACCTATTCTTTTTTGTTTGTACATGCTGCCATTGGGATCACTTTTTAAAAAGCACAAAATTTTCCATTTTTATGATGACATTCAAGTTTATTATCCTTTTGATTGAAATGTCTCTGCCTCTCTGCAGCCCCTTTTAAATTGTCTCCAGGACGTCAAAGACTGGTTATCCCAGAACTGTCTGACTTTGAATGAAGACAAAACTGAAGTTATTTTATTTGACAATTATCCTCCTCTTGATGGTTTACCTGGTTTTCTTGGCCCACTTGCTCCCTGCTGCTCATCTGTGGTCAAGGATCTTGGAGTGTTTTTAAGTTTGAGAAACAAACATCTTTAGTTGTTAAAACCAGTTTTTATCAGCTCCGTCTAATCGCCAAAGCAAAATCTTACATTCCCCACAAAGACCTTGAAACTCTTCTCCATGCTTTTATTACATGTAGACTGGACTGTTGCAACTCTTTATATGTTGGTTTGGAACAGTCATCTGTCCATCACCTGCAGTTAGTCCAGAACGCTGCTGCGAGTCTTTTAACAGGTTGTAGAAGGAGGACCACATCAGTCCTGTTTTATCTGACCTGCACTGGCTGCCTGTTCACTTTCATATTGATTTTAAGATTATTTTACTTAAAGTTTTAAATGGTCTGGCACCCAGTTATTTATTGGCCCTGTTGCACTTTTATACCCCAAACAGAGAACTGAGATCTTCTAATCAGATGCTTTTAGTGCAGCCAAAGGTAAAACTAAAGTGTAGAGGGGAACAGGCTTTTACTGTGGTGGTCCTCAGACTCTGGAACAACTTAAGATCAGTACTGCAGAGTCTGTTCAGTCTTTTAAATCTGGCTTAAAAACTCACTTTTTTACACTGGCTTTTAATTTAAATTCAGTTTGAGCTACCTCAGGGATTTGTAATTTGTGTCTTTTATTTGTTTTTAGCTTATTGTATGTTTTACTGTATTTTGTCTGTGAAGCACTTTGGTCAACACTTTTGTTTTTAAATGTGCTATATAAATAAAGTGATGATGATGATGATGATGATGATGATGATGATGATGATGAATACTAAACAAATCAAACTCCAAATGAACAAAGAACTGTGTAACAGTAAGAAATAAGTTCACATTTCTTTAGGTTTTCTTATTTTGTGAGTTTTTTCTTCAAAATCAATGAGCCAAACTGTAAAATATATCAAAGCGAATAATAATAATGAAAATGATTTAATATTGAACCTAAAAGGTGGCAGCACCGTGGCTTAGTTCGAGCTGATGTCTCTCAGTAAGAAGGTTGCTGGATTGAATCCCAGCTGGGGACCTTTCTTTGTAGAGTTTGCATGTTCTCTCCGTGCATGCGTGGGTTTTCTCCCACAGACCAAAAAAAAAAAAACCTGTGACGGGCTTGCAGCCTGTCCAGGGTGTACCCCACCCCTCACACCGTCACTGCTGGATGGGCAGCAGTGACCCTGAAAGGAAAAAGTGGGTGAATGATAATGGATGAACTTAAAAGTAAATATTGCACTTTAGCTGTGATTTTTCCTGGCATACTCTCTCTCAGGCTCAGAAAACTGTTGCACTATTGTTGCTGCATGAACACAGATTCTGAACATTGTCCTTCAGTTGTGCGTACGAGTGATTTAGGAGAATTTGTGRCATTCACCAATGTTTTCGTATTCTGATTTTTTTCAGATACAAACAAAATTCATGTGTGCTCAAGACCTGTTGTATATTTTACCAGCAGTCAGTCTGCTGTTATCCAGACGGGTTTTCTTCACTAATAACTTTATATTTCATTAGTTTGAAGACATTTAGAGTTGAAAATATATCACACCCTATTATTCTGTTTGAATTGAATTATAATTTTGAATGTAATAATGTAGACTGATATAAATTGGTTAAAATAGATTAAATAGTCTTTTAATGCTGTTATAACACTGCAGTGTTAATATGAAGATATCAAACTACAAACCAACTTAAATTCTGCATTAATTAAAGTTTAATTTGTTTGTGTATAAAATGAGGTCAACAGGAAGTGAACATGATCAACAGCTTTATTCAGACATAGATTAGATTATTTTTAATCAATTTTTATTTTGTTCAGATTCATTTAGCACATCAGCTGCAAGACTGTCTGCTGTGTTCTCCAAAGTGTCAGATAGATTTTGGAGATATTTTAAAAAGTTTTCTTGATTCTTCAGAACCACATCTGACACCACTTGCATGTGTGGGCGGGGGAGACGGTGCACGACTGGCACATCGGTCTGGGCTGTGGCTCTTCTTTTGAATAAATGAAAATTATTTAACACAGATGTTTACACTTGAATTAAAAATATTTGACCAAAAGAAAACTGGAGCAGGACTACAGAGAGAGATGAATGTGACTTAGATTTTTATTTCTGTGACTGTACGATCCACAGGAGACACAACATTAACAGCATCAGTTCATTCCTTGTCTTCAGCAGCTCCTTTAATTCCACAGCTGACCTGCTAAAAATGACAGGTTTTCTTTTCTGGATCTCTGAGAGCAGGACTTCAGTCTCTGAACTTGTGAAGTTCTTCTTTTTACTTTGTGATGTCATTTATGAATGGACACTTCCTGGTATGTGGGGCAGGAAACACAGCCTTATATGGTGTTTTGGGGGTGGTAATTATGCTAATCTCCTCTTCTTGAACATCTGAATACAAACAGGTGCATTCATGATGTTTATGCTGCTCATTTACACACTTTTCCTGAAGATAGAAGAGTTTGTTGAGTCTGATGAGGTATGTTCGTACGAACCCTTCATACGAACAAAAGTAAGAGAAATTTAGGACATAAATACAAAAACGTTCTTGCATGAGGCCCAGTGGTACTGTTTTAATGTGTAAGTGCAGAGTTAGAAGACAGTCAGCTCCATTTGTAAGAAGTTCTGTGCTCCACAATAGAGTTCCTGCTGGTGAAACTAAAACCATGCACTCATTAATCATTATCAGGTTTTCCTTGCTATGAAAAGGAGTGTTGGCTTTCCTGTAAAGGTCCAGATTTAGTGAGACGTGTTTTGGAGAGCAGAAATGTCTATGTGCGTCTTGTTGTTGATGATAGTAGTTTCCCTCAAGTTTTTGACACTAAGCAATGATGTGTGTGTGTGTGTGTGTGCGTGTGTGCATGCATGTGTGTATGTAGACACAAATAATCTGCATAAAGGAGGATACTGTTCACAGAGAAAAACAAAACAGGACCAAAAAGAAAGATTTGAAACAACAAAACTGAAGCTTAACTGTGCCCAGAGTCTGTTAGGGCTTAAAGGGATCCATGATTAGTTGTAACATTAGACTTTATTTAATAAACATATGTTTTAACTGTAAAATAAAGACTGTAAAAATACTGTAGGCTGTTTAGTTTTGTAAWTWWTT